CCAGATTAAAACACAACATACAACTGATCATGATATTTTAATCTGGATTAAAGATGTATTATCAGCTGTATGTTTAAGATAGATGTATTATCTATTAGCATACACAATCCATGCAACTATCAGTTGGAACTCCTTGTGATGATAGCCTGAGTATTGCGGACTGGCTGGAGAAAGCCATGGGAGAACCATCCAGCTACAAACGGATAGGTTCCAGGCTGGTCTTTAGGTCAAGTCTCCAGTTTTCCGTTGGCAAATTTCCACCGGAAATCATGGTAGAAATAGTACAAAATCCTGGATTGCACATCCTTTACCCTCTGGTTATTTAACATAGCCATGGAAAATGGTTCATTTATAGATGGTTTACCATTAAACATTGTGATGTTCCATGGTTATGTTAGTTTACCAGAGGGTATTACCAGATAATTTTTACCAGTTAGTTCCCCACATCACTGTGGGGTTCTTGTTTTTCGCTTGGATCCCGCCGGGGCTCCGCTCCTTCGCCTCCTCCGCCGCCTCCTCCTCACTCATCACTCATTCACTCACTCACTCCCTCCCTCCCTCCCTCCCTCACTCACTCACCACTCACTCACTCACTCACTCACACACACACTCACTCACTCACTCATTCACTCACTGTACAGATAGCTTCCTGGCTGCCTTTGGCGTGGCAAGCGCAGTACACAGAGCCTCCTGGAGGAGCTGCGGCGCGCGTGGGCGCCGCTGGGGCCGCGGCTGCCTTTGGCGTGGCAGGCGCAGTACACAGAGCCTCCTGGAGGAGCTGCGGCGCGCGTGGGCGCCGCTGGGGCCGCGGCTGCCTTTCGCATGGCAGGCGCAGTACACAGAGCCTCCTGGAGGAGCTGCGGCGCGCGTGGGCGCCGCTGGGGCCGCGGCTGCCTTTTGCGTGGCAGGTGCAGTACACAGAGCCTCCTGGAGGAGCTGCGGCGCGCGTGGGCGCCACTGGGGCCGCGGCTGCCTTTGGCGTGGCAGGCGCAGTACACAGAGCCTCCTGGAGGAGCTGCGGCGCGCGTGGGCGCCGCTGGGGCCGTGGCTGCCTTTCGCGTGGCAGGCGCCGTACACAGAGCCTCCTGGAGGAGCTGCGGCGCGCGTGGGCGCCGCTGGGGCCGTGGCTGCCTTTTGCGTGGCAGGCGCAGTACACAGAGCCTCCTGGAGGAGCTGCGGCGCGCGTGGGCGCCGCTGGGGCCGCGGCTGCCTTGTGATGGCAGGCGCAGCACACATCACAACACAACTCATCACAACTTATCACATACCAACTCATCACAGCTCCACTTCTCACAGGTCCACTTCTCATCACAACTCATCACAACTTATCACATCCCAACTCATCACAGTTCCACTTCTCACACCTCACTTCTCACACCTCACTTATCACATCACAACTTCTCATCACAACTCATCGCAACTTATCACATCCCAACTTATCACAGCTCCACTTCTCACACCACTTCTCACACCTCACTTATCACATCAGAACTCATCACAGCTCCACTTCTCACACCTGACATCACAAGTCCACTTCTCACACCTCACTTCTCACACCTCCCCGAAGTTCACATTAAGCTTAGATACATGAAGGCTTGACATGTGGGGTTATCCGGTCCTTTTTTTATATTATTTTCCAAAGAATAGGATGTTTTTAGTACAAAATCATCTGTTCATGCAAAAATCTTATTGTTTGCTGGTTAAATCCCTATGTTTGCTGCTTCTGTTTTCCTTCAGCACCTCGTGATTTCTGCAAAGCCACAGCAAGTGATTTCTACAGGTCAACTCCGCTAATTCCAAATGTTTGATTGTTAGCAACTCCTTCAAGGTAGGGACTCCCCATTCTTTGCAGATTACCCTCTGATAATTTAACATAGCTATTGAAAATGGCCATTTATAGTGGATTTACCCATTAAAAATGGTGATTTTCCATAGTTATGTTAGTTTACCAGAGGGTAAATTCCAATTGGGTTGCCATGAAGTTCCCAATTCGGTGTAGGGAATCCCTGATAAAATTCCCCACGTTTGTTTCCCCGAAAAACGTCGGAGGCTGCGGTCAGTCTCGCCTTTCATGAAGGTGATGATCAGGCGAAGGGTTGGGAAAAACCTGGCCTTAATGGTTTCACCATGGACCATGGACCATGTTTGAATTGGGATTTCATCATGAAAATCATGGTCAAATAATCATTGGAATATACCAAAATATACCCAAATATATATATATATATACCAAAACCGGAATATCATCCCAAAATATGCCAAAATTGGAATATCATCCCAAAATATACCGAAATTGGAATGTCATCATTGAAATCTCAAACCTTTGCAAGAGCTTGGTGAAGAGTAGTTTCACGGGTTTCATCGAGATGTTATTGTGGACGATTATCTGCGAAGACTTGTTTGTTAGGCAACCAGATGTGAATGTTGCAATTAGGTTGTCTGGTTGGTGGTTTGGAACATGTTTTATTTTCCCATATATTGGGAATAATAATCCCAACTGACTCATATTTTTCAGAGGGGTTGAAACCACCAACCAGTTGTGTTCATCATATTCATGATCCGGATGTATTGCATGATACATCCCTAGCAGGATGGATATTCTTGTTCAGCCAAACTTCCCCGGTTAGCAAATTTGTGGATTTGCCCACACACTGGCTATCTACACTGTATCTATATTTCATTTTTTGGCCGTTTCAATACAGGATGGGGCCCCCCCAGTTATAAGTTGGTTCAAAAACCCATCTAAATATAGTTATAAGTATCATACACTATTCAAAGGAAGTTTAGGGGGAGAAACTTCCGTGTTACGGACTTTTAGAATGTCAGGGAAAGAGTTAGTCAAAGAAACAGTTAGTCAGGGAAAGAGTTAGTCAAAGAAAGAGTTAGTGACGGAAAGAGTTAGTCAAAGAAAGAGTTAGTGAGGGAAAGAGTGAGTCAAAGGAAGAGTTAGTGAGGGAAAGAGTTAGTCAAAGAAAGAGTTAGTCAGGATATATGAGGTAGTCAAAGAAAGAGTTAGCAAAGAAAGAGTTAGTCAAAGAAAGAGCAAAGAAAGAGTTCGTTAGGGAACGAGTTAGTCAAAGAAATTGTTCCCGCAACGTAAATGGGATTGCAAGTGGTGCTGGTGGATGAGTTGCCGATGGAGTTTTGAAGGAAGTCTCGCACGAAATGCGTTTTTGAGAGATAGCAGATGCACGAAACCCTGTGTTTTTCCAGACAAAGTGCGTCCCCGAACCTCGATGATCTACCTCTGCGGTGCGACGGGTGCGAGACGGTCTCGTGTGTGGTCGGATCATGGTCGGATATGCTCGGATCATTCTCGGATCGGTTCCGCATTGTAAATGGGGTGTCACCTGTGTTTCGTGCATTTGTTGTCGACAGAATTCCATTGTGATTTGCAACTGTAGGATCGTTCCCGCAATGTAAATGGGATTGCAAGTGGTGCTGGTGGATGAGTTGCTGATGGAATTCCATTGTGATTGGCAACTGTAGGATCGTTCCCTCAATGTAAATGGGATTGCAAGTGGTGCTGGTGGATGAGTTGCCGATGGAGTTTTGAAGGAAGTCTCGCACGAAATGCGTTTTTGAGAGATAGCAGATGCACGAAAGCCTATGTTTTTCCATACAAAGTGCGTCCCCGAACGTCGATGATCTACCTCTGCGGTGCGACGGGTGCGAGACGGTCTCGTGTGTGGTCGGATCATGCGGATGGTCGGATCGGTCTCGGATCGGTTCCGCATTGTAAATGGGGTTTCAACTGTTTTTCGTGCATGTGTGGTCGACAGAATTCCATTGTGATTTGCAACTGTAGGATCGTTCCCGCATTGTAAATGGGGTTGCAAGTGGTGCTGGTGGATGAGTTGCCGATGGAATTCCATTGTGATTTGCAACTCTAGGATCGTTCCCTCAATGTAAATGGGATTGCAAGTGGTGCTGGTGGAGGAGTTGCCGATGGAGTTGTGAAGGAAGTCTCGCACGAAATGCGTTTTTGAGAGATAGCAGATGCACGAAAGCCTATGTTTTTCCATACAAAGTTCGTCCCCGAACCTCGATGATCTACCTCTGCGGTGCGACGGGTGCGAGACGGTCTCGTGTGTGGTCGGATCATGCATGGTCGGATATGGTCGGATCGGTTCCGCATTGTAAATGGGGTTTCAACTGCTTTTCGTGCATGTGTGGTCGACAGAATTCCATTGTGATTTGCAACTGTAGGATCGTTCCCGCATTGTAAATGGGGTTGCAAGTGGTGCTGGTGGATGAGTTGCCGATGGAATTCCATTGTGATTTGCAACTCTAGGATCGTTCCCTCAATGTAAATGGGATTGCAAGTGGTGCTGGTGGAGGAGTTGCCGATGGAGTTGTGAAGGAAATCTCGCACGAAATGCGTTTTTGAGAGATAGCAGATGCACGAAATATGTTTTTCCATACAAAGTTCGTCCCCGAACCTCGACCAGCACGGACTAACCAGCATCTCTATGACGCCGGTGCCATGTATAGCGCCGGTGTCGCCCAAGACGCCGGTGCCATTTTGCATCCCACCCACCCATTTGACACCAGCACCACTATGACGCCGGTGCCCGTGCTTGAGCGTGGGTAGTCTCTATGTTGTATCTGGGTATGTCTGCATGGTGCCTGTTGCATCAAAACTTGTTATAAAGTGTCCCTTGGCCAGCCTTGGCACCAGCAATTTTGTCATCGTTTAGTTTTGCCTTGGGCCAACAATATAAAATCTAGAGACCCCCGATCAAACGATCCTCATCAAATCTAGAGACCCTCGATCAAACAATCCCATCATCCGATCATCCACCGATGGAATCCCCAGCGCGCCCACACTCAATGCAAAATTGTTCTCTTTTCGTGGATATGACCCCTATTATTGAAATTGTTTTGACTATATGATGGCAACCCAAAACATGAATAATAACCTTATAAAAAAATGCAATGTCCGCACATCAATTCCCGACATAAAAGCCTGATCGATAGATCGACCCGGTTCATTTTTTTTATCGGATCATGCCAGTCCATCGGAGGCATGCAGCCAGCGCATATCTGTACATGACATGCTGAGAAACAAAACGGGGGTGAGCAGCAACCGCCATCCGTTTCACACGACGGATCATATCTTCATCTAGGTAATTGCTCATGTGTCGAAGGTTTTTCATGCCAAAATCGTACACAGCATGTTCCAGGTAATGGCACTTTGGCCTTACATGCCATCGAGGGATACCATTGGTAATGGCCAAACGACATAGATGGTTTGCAGCAGCTCTGTAGCACAGATATCCCTCCTCCAACCGTTGCCACTCCGACAAAGTAAGACGCCGGGTGTTCTCCAAGCAGACCAATTCCATTTCAGCAAGGCCGCAGGCAACCCCTGCTCTATACCTAGGCCATGACCCGCAGAACCGCTGAAAAACTTGAAACTGTTTTTTTTGATGTCATATGCAAATTAAATGCTGGGGACCTATATAAAGAAAATTGTTTCTAATTGTAAGGGATGAAAGTCACTCGTCGGCCTCGGCTCCATGGGTCACAGCGTAGTCTTTCGCTACAGCAGACAGCCAGAACAGCATATATCGAGCTGCAGTTGCATTCAACCTTTTTTGGGATACTTCCACATAGCCAACACTGTCGGGTGAAAGTGTTTGAACAGTAAATAATTTCCTCTGGGCCCTGTCTTTGATTCCATTGTCATTACACCAAGAATGGTAGTGTTCCCATAACTCAGATAGCCTCCTTTCCCTAGAGCTGCCCGAAACGTATTGCTCCGAATCTGTCCAGTCAAGAAGGGAGGAAACGATGGCATCTGGCGCAATCGTCAAGTGTACCAAATGCATTTGATCTGGCAGGATACCTCCAGTGCGCGAATATCTGGTTATAACAGATAATAAAATAGTATAAGAGATGTCTTATCCCAAAAAAGTCCATATATATATATGTATATAATTATATACGTGGGGTCACAACTTAAGGGTTCAAACAAATCCACTTGACAATTGAAAGAAAGTGTCGCCATGGTGACCACCCCGGAACAGAGCACAGTGGTGAAGGTGTAGAAATATCCAGCCATTCCTCCACAGATACCAGCCTAAGTGTTGGTTTAGCACATGCCACCCGAAAAAATATAATTGCTGGAACATAGCCCATGATTATAAGAGGTACACTTGAATAAAGGGGCCCCAACGAATCCATATATATGTTTTATTCCTTTTTGGCAAGCCACTATTGATTTCAATAAATTGGTCCAACTAAAATGTGATGAAGCCAAATGTATGGAACGTGTTTCTGTGAGCAGCCTGGGGTCCGAAATTTGTGTACAAGAATTCAGCTGCAGCTGGGTTGTCGCCCTCGTAAGTCCATGCACATGCCCTACAATAGTAGCAGCACATCTGTCGGGAAAAAAAACCTTAGGTGTAGCTCAAGGAACCTTTCAAAATTGCAACTGGGATATTGGGAATCTTTGAGGGTTTTGCCATCCAAAAATGTTGCTAGTTTCACCCCAGTCAACGTGCCGGGGTCAACATTAATCTGATGTAATCTTGGTCACCTTGTATTCCCTCAAGGCATGCGATGAAATCACCGGCGATCCTTTGACCCCCAAGCTTCCATCGCTCCCTCTCATATGATCTGGAGAATTCTCTCCCCCATGGATCACTTGTAGGATAGGTGCCAATACCTCAGCGGTCGAAGTAATTGACAGGTCCATGCGATGATATTCCATGGTAATGGTCATTTGGTCCCAAAAACACTGTTGATGATATCTCAATGCGTCCCATGAAAACAGCAATAGATATATAAGTCTAGTTCAACTAAAAATTGAATTGGGCAAACTAAACCTATCTGCAATATCAGGGAAATAGAAATTATAAGAGTCGTTCTCAGCAGATAAGTCGCTCAAAGCTTTGAAACTCCAGGCAATAGTTTCCATAATCTTTGTCCGTGATGACTCACTGCAGTAAGTAGCACTCATGCAAGAAAGCCTACAGGTTGCCCCCCAAGAAATTGGAGTAAACAGCATGTGGGAATAAACAACCCCGGCCAAATCATCAGATATTCAGAAAACATCTTCAGATTCAGATTATTCAGGGGTGCCACCATTGTATATATATATATATACTTTTTTTTTTTGACCTACGTTAACTACAGATTCTATAGATGGGTTTTCCAACTACCCCAGCGGTTGCAGCGCAGAGCCATGCAGCATGATCCTGGTGTTCATCGTCGAAGATGCCGAGGCAAGCGGCAAGACCAAGCTGATCAACTCGAACTTTTGTTTTCCTGAACGGGGGCGCCAAACCATGTCCATTAAAAAAAATGCATCACGATATGGGCCAAGACATTTTCAAAGTTTCAATGGATTATATAATAGTTGTCAAATGATTCATGGGGATGAGGAGGCCTCTACCCACCCAAGATCGTATGGGTCGAGTTGCGGTGGCTCTCCGCCCCGTCTCCAAAAATACGCAGTGGGATCACATGAGCTGGATCAGCCACCTCTCATTGGGATCTTAAGGGTGGAGTGTGCTTGACCAATTTGAGGTCAGTTCTTTATGTGTATATATATATATAGGGTATGATTCACTATGCCATAAGGGTGGAACCATATAAGATATATATATATATACACATATACATCTCGTAATTGTAGCATATGTTGCATGAATGTTTAAACAAATAAATCGTATATCATATTTATATATATATACATATGTAAATTAATCGATTCCCCCTAATAATGCCCTCCCGAAAGAACCATATATAGTCTAGTATAGGTTACTATACATATTAATATATTGGGACTCCTTTATGTTCAATACTGGGGGTATATGGGATTATTTTGGAGAAACCGGGCAATGCTAATCAGACCCCTTTCGCCTTAAAGATGGGGTGATCGCGAAACCAGGCAGTGTCAGCCTCCTCAGCCCAGAACTTGCGAAGTTCCTCGGCTTGCATGGCACTGCATGGTGGTCAGAGATTTGGGGTTTCAAGATTGGCCATTGTTTTCAAAACTTTTTTTTGCTGAGATTCTCCTGGTGGGCCAGTTAATTCAGACATCAAATCTCGAGGCGCAAATCGAAAAAATGCGCCCACGATCTCATGGGGTAAGAGCATGGAATGAAGTCCTGTGGACTCCCGGGATCCAAGAGCATCATCATAGAAAATTGGAATTTCAATCCTCAGCTCACAACAGTGGGGATGAACATTCAGGAAAACACATGTGTTGTGGGTATTGGAGAGCCTTGTGTTTCCGAGACACTGAAAAGGAAACGGAAGAGCTTGTCCTTAGATGTCACTTGTGTATCTCAAAAAATAAGATCGACCCATCTATGTACGACATGTTCCCCTGCGACGAGCAAAGAGCTGATAATTAATCATGTATGCATGGCTCCCTGTATTTGAAACATGTTTTGTGTAATAAACCAATGGTATGGTTTTCAGCAATGTTGACCGAAAAGAGTTCATATCTATATATATATATACATAGACTAATATATATATATAGATAGATCGATAGATAGATATATGCATATATATTATATAGATAGATATATGCATATATGTAAATATAGATAGAGATTTGCATATATATATATATATCATATAGATATATGAATATATGTATATATATATATCATTTGATTCCACAGCTGCCCAGCCACGCCAGGGTTGGGAACGGGTCCATCTTTCCAAAATCGGCCCAGGTCCCCATGAATCTCCACGACATCGCAATGATTCGATCAACTTGAGCACGGGCTCCCTAGGTGGAGAGCAAGGGCTCCCTAAATTCAGTTCCTTTCTTTTGGTGGTTTGGTACTTTTGGTGGTCCAATGACAAACAGTAAATATTGGGGTACATTCCACGCTGGCTACACGGTTGTTGTCCCCGAGCCCAAGAAATGGAAATATAAATGCCCACTTGTTTGATTTAAATAGCCAAGTTGCGGGACCAGTGGATGGGGTAAATTTTCCAGCCGGCCTTATATCAAAATGACCCATCAAAGTGACCCAAAGATTTGAAGTTGAAAAATCTGAGAGCCCTGCATAAGAGAGATCGCACCCTTTTCATTTGGACCTGCAACGACGTTTTATTCAGATAAAATGGCACCAGTTTATTATATTGTGATTCAGTTCGAACCAAAAATACATCCTTGTAATTTGAAGGAGATTGCAGTATTTCTATTGGCCATGCTGTGCTACCCCTGATAGGATATTGAATGAGTAGTTGTGTGTTTTTTTTTTGTGGGGGCTCGAAAACCTTGCCTCGCCGTCACCCAACATTTCAAAGAACTCTTCCACCAAGCCATGAACTGCTTCTTGCAATGCATGGGCGGCCCCCCCGGCAGAGGGGGTTGAAAAACTAGAACTAGACATGGCATGGCATTGAATTCAGCTGGAAAAGCGGCGGTTTTTCAAATTCAATCCATGCACCATCCAATCTTGCGTTTTGAAATTCAAGGTGGTTTGGGGCCCCTTAAGATGCTCAAATGCCAAATCTGTTTTATATTCCCCTTAATCTTCAAGATCAGCACAACCCACTTGCAAAATGCATACGAGCGTAGGCTTCAAGCTAGTTTTCACCACGTGTTCGCACGTGCCATTCCTACATCATGTTTGCGACAGCTGCAGGGTGTTTATCTACACTCCACCCCGGTAGGGCACCCTGCACTTGAAACGCCATCTTTATGGCCATATCGATTTTCATCCCATTGGAGTTTCAAAACATTTACCACGATTCCTCTTCATCGTCCTCCATGGTGACGTCACCATCTTCGTCATGCTCTGCTTCATCCTCGGGCCATTCCTCGGGAATCTCCTCCTTCGGGGCCGGCTTAGACTTTGCCTTTGCCTTCCCCTTAGCCTTCGCTTTTCCAGCAGCTTTCGCTGAGGCCTTTTCAAGCTTTCGCTTCTCGGCTGCCAAGCCTGGGCCGGAGGATTGACGGAACATAGCTGGCCATACATAGTCGGGATTCTGGATGTTTTACTGGGTATATAACCGTGGAATATACAATTGTCCAATTGTTTGGAATTTGGCCCGTATAATCTCTATAAATATAAGCTGTATATCTATTCAGTTTTAAGTGGAACTGTAAAACGTGGGGGTCCTTTATATAGGCTACCATGATTCAAGGATAAAGGGACATGTTACTTACAAGACATATAGATTCCATTGGCAATTCCTGTAAGTGTCAAATGATTTGCTTGTCCCAAGGAAACTTCGAACTGCCCCTGCTCGTCCAGGTATATTGTTTATGAAATTGTATCTGTATATATTTGGATACAATTGATGAAAAAACATACAATATATGTATATTTATATGGACCTCAATTCCATAGCTTGATTCCAACACAAAAGCCTTTAGGCTGAGTGCTGAACGACGTTCATGGCTCTCGCAAATCCCTTCGGCTTCTTGGATTGCTTTTGTTGCCTCCTAGGGCAAAGCAGTCCACCAATGTAGAGTTTGATCAACCCTGTCACCATCATATCCCCATTCTCATTTCAAATGCCTGTAGTCAGCGAAATGGATAAAAGAAACCAGGTACCAACCCCAATTAAAAGATGGGTGATTTGCATTATTTCCTCACACATCAGTTTGGGGAGCCTGTAAGAAGTCATTGTGATTGTTCAGGGATGTTTCGCAGATGTCAAAGTCCACCATCCGGAAGATATCATGGCTGATCCTTAGTGATGGCGCGCTTTCGATATTCACATCGTTTTTTTCAAAACTGAATTGGTTTGGAGAGTTTCAACATTTCTTTTTGTTTAGTGGAAACTGTGACCCCTACTCTTTGCTGATCTTGTTCAGCTTCGCGTAAAACTCTTTCAAGCTGCTCACCGTTGCCTCCAAAACGTGGCCGGCATAAAACCATGATGGGTTCCATATTCAAATTGGGGATCCCAAAGTATAAGTTGTTTTTTAATGTTTCCAATCCGTCAACTTTGTAAAGACCTGGATAGTTTTGGGGAAAATAGAGCCGGCCTCTTGGTGGGCAATGCCAGTGCTCGTCATGTTCTGAGCGGCCATGAAAGCTTTCGTTGCCAACTTCGACACCCTCAGTGGTGCATGTGATTGTGGGTCTATAAAGACAATAGGTATATTATATGAATATATATATATATAAATATATTTACATACAACATATATATATATAAATAAATATATATATATATATATTTTATGGATATATATATATAAATAAATGTATATATATATATAGATGCAAACTCTTGGCTGCCGTGGCTGCCCCCGTGTAAAGAAACACATCTAGAATACAACCTGGAATCCTGCCAGAAATAAATGGTCATATCCACGTGGGCTGAAAAATGCCTACATAACAATTTGGTTTGGGAAAACCATGCACTAGCATGGTTTACTTTTTTAAATGGTCGTATACCTATCCAACACCAGGCCCGCAAAATCTAATCCCGCCAAAGTAAATTAACTATTTATGTGGATTGGTACAAGTTACAAGCCATCATCAAACAACCAAAAAGAAACCTTGGTGATCTTGGTGAGCATTGACTATTGTTATTGTTGATCCCACATCATATCCAACCCCATTTTCCGGGACCAATGAAAACCAGGTAAAAAATAGCATCGAGGGAATCACTTTTTTTTTGGGATTGAGGGTATGACCCTTGCAGCTTGTCGTTGAAATCTTTCTTCCGGATCTCTTCAGGGGTCCTCACCTGCCAAGGAGTGTGGATTGGAGCAGAAGACGATTGACACTATTCAGGACTGATGGGTTGAGATCAACTCTGGTGATGAGATCAAGAAACCTTTCGACGTAACCTAATTTCAAATGGTTAGTGACATTTGATGACACTACATTGGTTTGAACGCAGCATGCTGAATACTGCATGTACTGTTTGCAAGCTGACCCACACAATCACCTCATGCAGCTACAGAAAAAAGTTTGATCCCACGAATCCTAAAAATATAGTAGTTTTTTGCGCGCGGTTTTGGGTAAACCAGCCTTTCGCTTCTTTTCTGTGGGCTCACCTTTTCTGCGATTCTTTCCTCCTTTCCCACCTTGATCCTCTTCGTGTGCACCTGAACCCTTCCCCGCAAAGTCTGCAGAGAAGCCTGTGAGAGCGTCAGTCACTGCACCAAGTGCAGCCTTGTTCTGGGGAACAGTACCTTTTGCATGGGCTCGAGTGCCAATGCTGTTCTTGTTCCTGGTCACGTCTGCATTCTGTTTGAAGACCCAGTAGAGTCTCATATTTTCATCCTCCGGGGCCTGGGGGTGGGGTTTTCCCCTTTGCTTTGCAACGATCTGGTTCTCGAGGAAGTGAATTTCAGCAGGGGTAGTATACTGTTTCCTCAGGGTTTCCAACGGTACCTCTTCCCAGGCCGCACTATCCTCCCGCTCTGCTAAGCTGACATACTCAGCCTCGATCGTAATCTCGGCCAGGTTCTGGGGGTCTAACATGAATGCCTTGAGGAACTCCCATTTGGCATGGGAACTTGTAGCCGCAGCATATTTCTGAATCAAACCAGGTCGTAACCCCGGTCCCGCCAACCTCCTTCTCAATGCCTCCCGCTGCCTCTTTCGTTCTTCTGGTGGAAGATCATCAGCCGAAGTCATCGCCTGCGATGAAGCGGAAAAGTTAAACTAAGTGATTGGGTATCTTATGTGGGATGTTATTAATCCGACAAATGCATACTCCAATATACTTTGTAAAGAAACATATTATGTGCATATATATATATAATTCAAATTATTTTGACCCTATTTAGTTGCATATTATGTTTTCACTTCCTAGGAAAAAGCAGGCCTGAATGCGCGCAGCATCCTCCTCGCTGAGCAGTTTGACCTTATAGGACAAAATCCAGCCATGTAGTTCACATACATATACACTTTGAACACTAAACGGGATCGATGTTTGACCACGACTTCCTTGTCTTGAAAATGGTTGATATACAGCAATTTTAAAAAGTAACAAAAGCTGAGACCCCCAACCCGCTTTGTCTTCCCAGCTCCCTCCACGAGTGGGGACATAGCCACGCTTCCCGACCCATCACTCATGACACTGGTGCTTCGGCGGATGATCGGCCTGCATGAATGCCGATGCAAGAGGGTTGGTGTGTGTTTTTGACTGCTTTTATTTTGATCCAAGAGTGAGATGGCATATTAATATTGGATGTTAATTTTGAAGGGTTATATAGCTGCTTGATCTAAAGTTGAGAACCAAGCGGCTGTGGCTTTTCCTCACTACCTGGCAGGGGAAGAAATGTTTGGATGATAATTCCAATTTATATCCCCATTAAAAACATATAAGTGCCATTTGCTATCCCCTTTACAAATTGGATATCATCCAAACAATTTAGAATGTGTTTTTAAAAAATCAAAAAATATAGACATTTATATTTATATTTACATATATTATAGTATACACACATACACACATACATACATACATACATACATACATACATACATACATACATACATACATACATACATACATACATACATACATACATATATACATACATACATACATACATCGTACATATATATATATGTATGTATGTTTGTATTTATTTATGTATTGTATGTAAAAATGTATATGCATGTCCAATCCCACCTTCGAGAGCTAGCTTCCTTTTAGCATCTGGAGTGATGCCAGTGGGCGAAGCTGACTGGGAGGGGGTTGGCTCTGCCGGGCTGCTGCTGGGTACACTATCCCCTGATCGGGACGGTGTGGTGCTGTCAACTGAAAGGTTGGAGGCTCCCCCTTTCCTTTCAAATTTTTTCCAGTATGCCTTGTAAGCCTCGGTGCCCTGCTCGGTTGAACCATCTTCCTTTTCGGGTGGCTCTGGAAAAACAGCATGTGGTTTCGTCTCGCTGATCTCCATCTTCTTCAACCATAGATCATATTTGAGTATGTCTTCTTCGGGGGATGTCCCAAACTTTCGTTCCTCTGTCATGTCCCACAATTCTGCTCGAAACTTTCCAAACAACGTATGTTCTACGGCAGTGGCAACTGCAGCCTTCAACTCATAGGGGTTTGCCTTTTGAACCCACTTTTTCACCTTGGTTTCGTGTTCATCCAAAATAGCAGTGGGCCGTTTGCCCAAGTCCGTTTCACCCAAGACTCCATAGCCACTGGCCAGTGTTGGCGGGGGATCAGCCCACGATGATGCCCGATCATCACGAAGGTCCTGACGGTCATGGACCAAAATATGCAAATGCAAGCATTGTATGTAAACACACGGTGACCGTGAATCAGGTGTATCGACATATACATACAGAACGACGTGAACACATTACAAACATATATATATAATATGTATGTCTGTCTGTCTGTATGTATGTATGTATGTATGTATGTATCTATATATGTATGTATGTATGTATGTAAGTAAATGTCGGATATATAACATAGTAATCGAGCATGCAAATTTAGCACTACACGCATACATAGACACATACATACATATACATATATACATGTGTGTGTGTGTTTATATAATGCAAATAAATATAAATGGGTACGCCCTGAGTTGGTGCAAATTCGTTTTTGAAACCTGCCCCATATAAATCCCAACACTAAATAATGTAAAGCTTTAGATTTCGGAATTGAAAGTCAAAGCCACATGAAAACATTGTCCTCATGGGGAGCGGTTGGTTTCTCACCAGGATGCCCAGATTTGCCCAAGCTGTTGCCCTTGGTCTTGCCCATACCCTTCTCCTCTTTGCCCTCGAAGCCGTCACCCTTAGTGGCGGATTTCCCGGTCGGGTCACACTTGGATTTCCCTTTGTAGCCTTTGACATTGCCATTGCCCTTGCCAAAACCTTTGGTGCCATTCGGGGACTCCATGTTGCTGGGGGTACTGTAGCTATTGGTCTTGCACTTGCCCTTCTCGGCGCCCTTCAAAGAGTAAGTTTTGCCCTTGTCCCCCAATGTCGTTCCACCATCGTTGGAAGTAAGGTTGTCATTCTGTGGTTCAATTTCCCTGGGGGTACTGGAGCTACCTTCACCCTCAACGATGCCCTTGGTCTTGGTCTTGCTCTTGCCCTTCTCGGTGCCCTTGACAGAGTACGTCTTGCCCCCCAAGTTTTTCCACCCTGGTTGAGAGTAAGGTTGTCGTTCTGTGGGTCAATTTCCCCGGTGGTACTAGGGCTACCATCAACGATGCCCTTGGTCTTGCTCTTGCCCTTCTCAGTGCCCTTGACAGAGTAGGTCTTGCCCCCCCAAGTCTTTCCACCCTCGTTGGAAGTAAGGTTGTCATTCCGTGGGTCAGTTTCCCTGGGGGTACTGGAGCTACCATCACCATCAACGATGCCCTTGGTCTTGCACTTTCCCTTTTCGGTGCCCTTGTAGGTCTTGCCCTTGCCCCCCAAAGTCTTTCCACCCTTGTTGGAAGTAAGGTCGTCATTCGGTGGTTCAATTTCATTGGGGGTACTGGAGCTACCATCAACGATGCCCTTGGTCTTGCACTTGCCCTTCTCGGTGCCCTTGAAAGAAGAAGTTTTGCCTTTGCCCCCAAAAGTCTTTCCACCCTCGGAAGTAAGGTCACTTTCCCTTGGGGTACTAGAACTACCATCACCATCAACGGTGTCCTTGGTCTTGCTCTTGCCCTTCTCGTCGATTCCCTTGCCCTTGTGCTTGCCCCCGGTGCTGCCAAGACCCTTGTACTCGACAGTCTCGGTGTGGGAACCCTTGAAGTCACCTTCGAAAGTCGCCTTGCCACCGGTGGCATGGTAGCTACTGTGGGAGGTACCAGCACCAACATAGCCCTTGTAGTCAGCCTTGCCCTTAAAGCTAGACTTGCCAGTACCCTTACTCACAGACTTGCCCTTGTAGGACTCACTGAAGTATGGGCTCCCATGGTCAGACTGGCCACCCTTGACTTCGGATTTCCCTTTAGCACCCGCTCCAACAGAACATTCGCTGGCCATGCTCTAGTTGAAGGGGGGGCCTATTACAGGAACGTAGCAACCAAATCCTTGAACACCAGATGCCAGACCACAAAAACAGGTTGCTTTGACACGAAATGACATGAATCTGAAGATAACCCCTAGAACACTGTCTATTCCAAAGTAGTGAAATTGGGACCTATGGCTGACACGAAATGACACGTTTTCATGTCCCGTATAGCGCCGTTGGCACGAAATGACACGAAATGACACGGTCCCAGAATTTTTTATTTTTTTTTGAAAAAGTCCAAAGTAGTGAAACTGGGACCTATGGCTGACACGAAATGACACGTTTTCATGTCCCGTATAGCGCCGTTGGCACGAAATGACACGAAATGACACGGTCCCAGAAAAACCATTTTTTTCTGAAAAAAGTGTATCCATTTTGTACAAACTTGCTAGTCTTGGCAATCTTTGTCAAATTGTGTCCGATCCTTTCAAAAATTACGATGTGAGACAGGTTGGGTGTCATTCCGTGTCGAACAATGTGAAGTCATGTCATTTCGTGTCATTCCCTATCCTTTGGTGGCATTCCGTGTCAAACCGTGTCATTCCGTGTCAAACCGTGTCATACCCTGTCATTCCGTGTCATTTCGTGTCAAACCGTGTCAAACCGTGTCAGACCGTGTCAGACCGTGTCATTCCGTGTCAAACCGTGTCAAACCGTGTCAAACCGTGTCATTCCGTGTCAAACCGTGTCAAACCGTGTCATTCCGTGTCAAACCGTGTCAAACCGTGTCATTCCGTGTCAAACCGTGTCAAACCCTGTCATTCCGTGTCATTTCGTGTCAAACCGTGTCGACTATGTCAAACCGTGTCATTCCGTGTCAAACCGTGTCAATCCGTGTCATACCGTGCCATTCCGTATCAAACCGTGTCATTCCATGTCATTCCGTGTCAGACCGTGTCATTCCATGTCATTCCGTGTCAAACCGTGTCAAACCGTGTCAAACCGTGTCAAACCGTGTCAAACCGTGTCAAACTGTGTCATACCGTGCCAGTCCGTGTCAAACCGTGTCATTCCATGTCATTCCGTGTCAGACCGTGTCATTCCATGTCATTCCGTGTCAAACCGTGTCAAACCGTGTCAAACCGTGTCAAACCGTGTCAAACTGTGTCATACCGTGCCAGTCCGTGTCAAACCGTGTCATTCCATGTCATTCCATGTCATTCCGTGTCAGACCGTGTCAAACCGTGTCATTTCGTGTCAGTGATGTTAGATGGTGTGAGTTCGTCATTTCGTGTCGATCAGTTCGTGTTAACCAGTTCGTGTTCAACTCTATGCATTATTATGCATTGCATTTTTTCCACATGCTGGTCGAAGCCGGGAATCAAAGCTAGGAAGCCAATTTGGCATGGCCCAGCACCACATATATGTGCATGTCCATATTTCAAACACACATATATATATATGTTTGTATCTGTATATGTATGTATTCAATATATATATATATATATTCATGAATTAAGTGGTCTCACCATTTGTAAAGAAATATGTGGTTATTTTGATGGTGCATGCCGGAAACCCAACCAGTCATTTGTTGACTGATTTAAAGTATGGACTCTAGCCCGCTGTCGCTAGTGTCATCATCAAAATCCTGAAATTTCAAGCCCCCGTCAGGAATTGGAATCTGGTCCTTTGCAGGGATACTGGCCATATATTCGGCCATCTTTTCGCCGACCTTGGCTGCAAGGGGCTTCGGTGGATGAGACGTAGAAACCACCAAATATCCGAAGAACACTTACTACATAGGATTTATATATAACCTATAGGATGTGTCTCTACATTTTTTATTCCCAGAAGATTTCCATGGTTCAAACAAATGGGCCAAAGAGTTTAAGCACTGAGCACCTTTAAAATAAGAGCTTTTCCAAAGATCAAACGGTCATTTTGAGCTGATCGATTTCTGCATTGTTTGAACGAACGGATATATATATATATTATATATATATATATTATATATATACATTTTTTCAAAATACACATATAAATATAAATATATATATATAAATGGGCCAAGGAACCCAAAGGCCCAGTCCACCTGGATAGCATTGGGTAGAATGGAGATGTTTTCCACCAGCCTCAAACATGGGGCGACCCAATCATGAATGTTGCTAGAAGACCCAATTGGAAACTTGAACATGTTTATAGTCATTTTTGAGGTGACCTTTTTTGAACCTTTGCAGGGGCCAAACGCATTTAAAAAGGTCGCCCAAAAAAAAAAACAACATAAACATATATATCAATTCCACATTGTTTCTTGATGTGGCTCACTTTATCTAAGTACCCGGCCACCCGAGTTCGACCTTTGCGGTCCTGGTAGATACGGGCTGTTTGCAGCTTCAGAAAGGAACGGATACGACGTAGTTGGCGCCTGCATATGGGAATCTGATCTGGTACCATATGGGGTATTAGGAAATAGTGACAGAATAAGTATACTGCAGGGCGTATGTCGATAGTTCAGATCCAATTCATATATACATATGAAACAAATACATGCAAGCAAGTTAAAAGAACTACGGAACATATTTTTGTCATAGGGCTCCCATATAGCTATAGGTCGGTAGATTTCTGGATTTGAAGATATATAGGTAAAATGAATCCAATGCTCATGTAAGAAGCAAATTTAAACATGCATATTGCGATCATGCTTCTTCTTGCCACAGTTGTTTTGGTGGTGAGCCTTGCATGTAGTCTTCATGCAATTGTGTCCAGCACAATGGATACATGTGAATGTGACCATTTTGTTAAAATACCGGGTTGATCTGCATAGTATACAGTACCCCATACTGCATTGGCCATTTTCAGAAAAATCTATGTACATATTCGGAATTCCGCCTCTTGAATCTGCAAGTCCTTTTCGAGACCAGTTTGTCCAGGAATGGGGCTGTTCCACACAAGGTTACCTATAGCGGGCCACTGCATGGGTGAGAGAAGAATCTATATGGTAGACCCCCAATCCAAATACCAGTTGAAATCAAATGCATACGGGAAGCGGGCTTCAATGTCAAAGCATTGAAATCACCAAGGTTGATATCACCCATGCAGGCTCGGTGTCGTCGCAAAAGGTTCTTAGTTGGTCCCGTATAATCATCGATGAATCCGCATATGTAAATGATTGCGAACAACCAATAGCATGCATTCAAGGGACCTTTATGGGCTTATATTGCCACAGTAAAGACGAGGAAGGTTGTTCCACTATATAGTGAATTCCCTTCCTGTAGCACAGCTCCAACCTAAGGAAAAACTGGGAAACACTGCGCCGATCCAACTGGAGATCAGCTCATGCATGCATCTATTTCGGCAGAAGATCTTTGTCAGCACAAATTTGAATGGGAATCCTATATACCTGGGTATCTGACGCATAGGCTAGTCGTCGGGCAATTTTGTTGCCCGTTTTGGTGCTTCTGCGTTCCGACCAACCCTGTGGCCTAAGAAGTGATCTCTTCGTTGACCCCATCGACCTCGATTGGCAAAGGCATTTAATATGTTTTACATTTCCAATAAGGCATTAACATTTTTCAATTGTGTTGGCAGAAGAAACGCCAAGGAGCATGAAAATCCAAGAGTTGCAGGGAATAGCGAACCATACGCATCCATTGCGCTTGACATGGCGTATCTCAGCCACAGTGGGCGCTACAGCCAAAATGGGATGAAAGGTAACCATTTATGGTATCTCACGGTTGCCCAACCTATATTTGTATATATTTTATCATATCTATACTTTACACCGGTCCATGGATAGACAGACCCGATACCTTTAAGCCATCTAGGTCAATGTATTGTGTGGGCCCTCACTGTTTCCAAATTGTCATATATGCAGCCGCAGGGACATAGTTGAGCAACAGTAGGAACCCAAAGTTGCTCAAGAGGTTCATCTTGCGTGAATAGTCAACCTCATTGACCATCGGTACACTTCGATATATCTGACCTTTAATGGATTGAAACTTGAACCTCACCCAAGAATGTCTCATCCGATGGAAAAATAAACCACCAACATTAATCAATACCCGAGGTCACAACCTGGTTTGTGTGCAGCTTGGGCACGTCATATGCGCGACTTGTCAGTCCCATCAGCTGAACACCACTGTGCAGCATGTGCTGCCCTGGAGGGGCGATTGAAATGGATAACTTTTTTGGGGACCCAAGAGCAATTTTGAATTAGGCAGTGGGACGGGCGTATTATTCTGAAAAGGAAAATAGACAGGGTATGTTTGTAAAAAACAAATGTATATAAGTGTTTGTTTGTGGACATGCCCACTTTGCATATATCTTGGAACTTTTCAATTTGGATCCGAAAATCATGAATCACATGTTTGACTTTTCTATTTCGAACTCTTTAAAGGGAAGACCTTTAAAGTGAAGAAGTGGGCCGTATATATGTTTGACCCCAACTAGGCCTGCACAAATCTCTGCAAAGTCGGAAGAAGATCCGGTGTCCAAATTACCCAAGCCTCATTTATTCAGGTTCCAGTGGTATAACAGGGATCGATAAAGTAATGTCACACATTTGCATGCAAGCTCAACTGATTCTGTTGGCAACTGAATTGAACACAATAATATAATGGTTTCGGATCTCTGTTTCACCAAGGGGCTTTTCAGCAATACCGTGAGCAAGACAGCCAACTGGGAAAAACGCATGGTGGCTATTATATATAGGCCGGGCTACCCTGTAGCTACAAACTGATCAGGTTTTTCCCACCTGCATTGAACCAAGGACAGCTGGAAATCATATGTGCTTGATGGCCGCTGATCTTGAGATCTTTCGAGGAGTGCCAGGGTCAGCATGGCATTTGGATCAATCAAGGCGACATAAGGTGATCGTCAGTAAAAGAAGGTATATAACCTGGTGCCCAATAAATCTCATTTCCAATCTCAAAACAGATAGACGTTTCTTTGCAGAACTTTTTCCATCTCAGGCAACAGGCTCAGATCATCCAAATTGTGATCAATGCCCCAGGATTGGATTAGCCGGACCCCA